AATCCAATAAAAAAATTAAGTAAAATAGTAAATAAGCTGGACTTAGTCGACGTATGGCTTAATAAAAATCCTGCTTACAATGGTTATACATGGTGTGATGCAGAAAATTGTCCAAAGAGTAGGATAAATTATACTTTTGTAAATAAAGACTTCATAGAACGTGTAAAAAATATCATTGTCAGACGAATTCCAGGTACTCATAATAATAGCACACGGTTAAGTGACCACAGATATCTTAAATGTACTTTAAATCTTAGTAAACTAGAAAGAGGTGCATGTTACTGGAAATTAAATGTATCTCACCTTGAAAAATGATGATTACAAGCACGGTATAATAGATATAATTAACAATATTGATGAAACGCAAGATCCAGTTTTAAAATGGGAAACTTTTGAAATAAGTGTTCGTGATTATTCTATTAAATACGCAAAACAATCTAAGTATAATATAAAATATAAAGTAAAATTGCTTGAGGAAAAAATCGATAATATTGAATCTTTGCCTAGTTCAAAAATTAATATGAATGAAAAGCGAAAACTAGAGAAAGAGTTAGATGCAATGTATGATGAAATTGCTAAAGGAGCTCAAATAAGATTAAAAGCTCCATGGATAAGCGATAGAGAGCGAAATACAAGTTTCTTTCTAGGATTTGGATAAAAAACCTTCAATCAAATAATACCATAACTGAATTAAAAAATAATAATAAAATATTTGCTAGTATAAGTGAAATTTTACAAGAAATGTGCCTTTTTTACGAAAACTTATATACAAGCAAATCTGTTGATACAATATTTCGTCATATTTACAAGACATTGAATGTCCAAAACTCAATGATCGCGAGAGAAAGTTTTGCGACACATTTCCAACATTTGATGGGTGTTCAAATGTAGTTCATAATTTAAAGAGCATCAAATCTCCCGGTTTAGATGGATTATCAGCGGAATTTTATAAATGTTTTTGGAATATAATTGGACCTCTCTTTTACGAAGTTTTATTAACTGTATTTGAAAAAGAAGAATTATCATATTCTCCGCGATTGGCACTTATCACTCTTTTATTTAAGAAGGGTGACAAGAATAATCTTAAAAACTCAAACACCGATTACAAGATTATAGCCTTTGTTCTCGCAAAACAATTGCAAAGTGTCATAGATGAATTAATTAGTAATGAACAATCGGCATATATCAAAGGTCGTCACATAGGTTTAAATGCAAGATTAATTTTAGACATTTATGAATATTGTATGGAAAATGAAAGAGACGGATTATTACTATTTTTAGATTTTGAAAAGGCTTTCGATTCAGTCGAGTGGAATTTTCTTTTTCAAGTTCTAAAAAATTTTCTTCAATGGATTAAGATTCTATACAATAAACCAATATTCAGAATTAAAACCAATGGTTGGATTTCTAAAACTTGTAGCATGAATAGAGGTTTTAGACATTGATGCCCTATTTCAGCTCTATTGTATCTATTTGTGGCAGAAATATTGGCCCTTAAAATTAAAAATAACAATAAAATACAAGGTATTAATTTATCAAACATGAAAAGAGATATAAAAAATATTCAGCATGCCGACGATGTCACACTGGCTTTAAAAGATATATCTTCTTTAAATGTTGCAGTAACGACTGTTAATGAATTTTGTAAACTCAAAAATTAATTTAAGCAAAACACAATGTATATTACTAGGTAGTCTTCATGATAAATACACCAATGTAGGAGGCATACAGGTAACTAATGATGCTGTTCGATGTTTAGGTATACACATTGGCCATAAATAAATTCAGCGTTATGAATTGAATTGGTTAAAAACTTTTCAAAATATGGAAAAACTCTTTGAATCTTGGAAAAAAAGAAAATTGACTATTTTTGGAAATCATGTGTCTTTAATTTATTAGCTACGTCACAACTTATTTATATGGGTTCAATATCCCGAACATATTCGACAAATTAAAAGCAGCATATTTAACTTCATAGGAAATAAACGCAATAGAATTAAAAGAGATACTGTGATCGGAAAACAGGAAGATGGTGGAATAGGTGTGATAGATATTGAATTGAAATTTAAGGCTTTAAAGGCGGCATGGACTAGATTCTTAATAGATAAGAATTGTATACTCAGTGAAATAGTAGAAGGCTATTTAAATCGTCTTAATGTCGATGTCAATTATATATTAACTTTATCGGAGACAAAACCGTCAGACTTTGAATTAAAATCATTTCAAACCTCCCGATTTGTAATAAAGAATTATTCTGTAGTTTTAATGATTGTAAAAGATATATCGATGAGACTAAATTATCTAATGTAAGTTTTGCTCAGCAACCAATATGGAATAATGATATGTTTAAATATGAAAACAAAACAATTTGTTTTAAAAACTGGATTCAAAGTGGGATAACACATGTTAAAGACCTTTTTAACAAAAATGGACAATTTAAAACTCTACAAGAATTGTCCTTTGATCTGAAACAAAAATCAAACTGGATGTGTGAATATATAATATTAAAAATGGCAATCTATAATAAAGCTTTAAAATTTAATATGACTTGTTGTTCATACATACAGACTATAGGAAAGTGTTATTTTAATTTTATCAATGGTATATAATGTATTGAAGATAAAAAAAAAAATGTAAATTTTTCTACGATAATCTACTCTTACGAAATTTAAAGCTCCAAGTCATCAATTAATTTTTAAAAAATTATTTTCTGTTGCTAAAGAGAGCTGGAAGTTTATATATAGAAACAAAGTAAAAGACATTTATGACAAAAGAATATGTGAATTTAATTACAAACTGTTAAATAATACATTATGTTGTAACAGTTTTCTTTTTAAATGCAAATACAGAACATCTGCTTTTTGTAATATGTGTGATGAAATTGAAAATATAAGACATTTACTTTTTGATTGTGAACATGTTCAAATACTATGGAAAAATCTGAGTTCTGTGTTAAATTTTGATGTACAGTGGAAAAATGTCATCTTAGGGTTTTATTCTGAACAGTATTCCAAAATACAATTTTTAAATACCTTTGTGTCTTTCCTAGCATATAAGATATATAAATTTAAAATGTTTTGTAGATATCAGAACAAAACTGAAACAAATAGTATGTTACTTTCTAATGTAAAAAATAAGATTAAAAACAATATCGACTTATTAATGAAGTTAACGAAAACTCATATGTCATCACCTGCATACGGGGTATGTATCTCTCAGTTGATTCGATACGCAAGAGCATGCTCTGCGTATGTACAATTTCTAAAACGAGGTAAATTATTGACAAACAAGTTGATGAAACAAGAATATCAGCTGTCTCGTTTAAAGTCATCATTTCATAAGTTCTATGGCCGATACAATGAACTTGTCAGCAAGTACAATTTATCATTGACGCAGCACAGTTAAGGCTGCAGTAAGGAGGCGGGGCCTAATTTATACGGGAAATGCTTACTATGACATCACACAAAAATATAACTTCTTCGAATTACCACAAAATGAAATGATTTGCTATTTTAAACTTTGACGCAGTTTGTATGCAGTGAGAGGCGGATCAAATTATATTTATACAATGAAAAAGGTATTCTGTAATTAAATAAAATATAAATTGTAGATATATAAGAGGCCATTAACTTGGATGCGATGTCTGTTTTATGATTTTATTCATATACTTCCCGTACATTCCCTAGACAAGCGATACTGTCGTATATATGTATACAGATTCACTGAAGGGTAATAGAAGGGTCATAATAAATCGATATATTGCAAGGGCATACCATCAATGAATTATGACAAGCTTTTACACATAAACTGAAGAAGTATGAAGATATTTGAAAAGTGCTGCGAACCTGTTGAAATCTTGCAAATGATTTAATTATATCTGTATTTAATGTACTTGACCAGCAAATTATTCAACATACGGTCTAACAAATGTAATTTTAGCAATTAGATAGAAGAATCTATATAGGTTCGCAGCACTTTTCACAATCTACAAAGAGTGTTGAAAATAATTATATGTTAAACTTAGATTTTTAACTTGGTTATGCCCTTGCAATATTAGAATTTATAGATGACCTCAATACTTCAGGTATATTTGCTAAAATCACGTGACTTCCACATCACGTGACAAGTCTTAATAAGAAATCTAATCGTACTCAACATTTAGTTTTCAACCACATTGCATTTGTCCAATAATAGTAAAGTCCTAAAAAGAAATGCCCATCCTTGTAAAGAATGTATTTTCTATCTAAAAAATTCGCCGATATTTCTATTTGGCACCTTAACTGTGCTGCGGAGTCAAATGCTGACCGACATTTTTCATACTTATTGTTGGGCCATTATTTACACACTGAATTGTCGACGGATTTTTCCGTCATGACAAAGAGCACACGGCGGGTGTGACGGGTGTGACCGGTCGGCAGGGGATGCTAACTCCTCCATGACACCTGATCCCACCTCTAATGTTTGGAGGTCCGTGTTTGCTCTGCTCCTGTTTTGTATTGTTTATTGGACTTTTAAGCTTGAATACTGTTCGTTATCTCCGTATATTTCATGTTTAAAAGTAAAATAGTGTCATTTGTAGAAATGCTATAATTGATATATGTTTTTCTGTTATTCTTGTTATCCTATCTTGACCCGGGATAGTTAGAAATTTTAAATGGGTTTACATTATCATTAATAAATAACTTAAAAAAATACTTAATAAACGGGGGTTAACTCAGAATATAAGGGAATAAAATTTCTTTTGTTAATTTTCCCTAACTTTAAATGTTCCGAAAAAAATTGATTCCGACATCAGACATCATATATATATCCAATACGATTTATGCTTCTGTAGAATGGTTTGTTCTGGTGTGATAATAAAGACGTGACTGTGATTTTTACACTGTGATCTACATATTCAGAAGTATTAATAATAAAGTCACGATTTCAATTTTTTTCTTATCTACCAGTCGTGCACATAAATTTCCTTTGACAAGACTCACGCTTGTTAACTAATAACTATGGGAATATTGTACATTTTTGTTATATTCATACATGTACAAGCTGTGATCGGGCATGGTGAAAAAAGAATCCTGCTTAATGATCCAGACGTGCTTTTGTCCCAGATCCATGACCTTGAGAGAAAGTATCAGGACGTATTATCAAAGTATTCTGATTTATCCAGAAAGTTCTCTGGTTTAGCAACGCAGTATTCCGATATATCAACAAAGTATACAGAACTTGTGGCAAAAACAACTGATTTGTCTGTAAAATACGATGCTTTGCCTCTCATATATACTGGTAACTTTTTTTAATATCCATAAAAATGTATTTCATTACATTAATCAAGTGATCTAGAATTCAGACTATTAAGTATGTGTAATTGTATCATAGAGTTTATAGAGTTTATCTCGAAAGTCCATTGAGGGCGATAAAGACCTCAATTACGCGGGAGGTCGAGGCTTGACACCCAATGTTTGTTACATCGTTACCCTAAAGACTACGACAAAAGCTGATGGTCCCGAATATCTTGTTCAATATTTTAGATATCTCGTATTAGGAAGATATGACAATGTCAATAGTTTTATCAGCAAACAAAATATAGAAATACGCAGAAGTTGTAATATCTCATTTCATTTTTAAACCCACATGCAAGCAGAAATTTTAAAGAAAGTACTTTTCATAATGTTATTTTTTAATCCAAATTCAAATTCCTGTAATATAATGTATTATATAAAAAACAATTCTGAGATAAAGCAAGAAATATTAAGGAACAGGAATAAAAAAAAATCAAATGTTGCCATGATATTCTTTACAATTGAATCATCAATGAGTTGTTCATAACTTTCTTCAATTCTTAAATGATCAGCAAAACTTCAACGATACATAATTTTGTACACATGGTTTTTATTTAAGCCAGTGGAGTGTTTGTACGATGGGGGCGAAAGGACTGTCCTTCTGAAAACAACACTGAACTTGTTTACTCCGGTACGTAAAAAAAAATAATTATTCTTTAACTTTTCAATCGTCAACTTCCCTTACTTATGCAGCAATATACCTTCATCACCTGCATACTGGGTTTATATCTCTCAGTTAATTCGAAACGCAGGAGCATGTCCTACGTGTGAACAATTTCTAAAACGAGGTAAGTTATTGACAAATAAGTTGATGAAACAAGAATATCAGCAGTTTCATTTAAACTCATCATTTCGTAAGTTCTATGGTCGACCTTGACCTTACAATTTATTATTAGGTCACATGCTGACTGACGTTTTTCATACTAATTGTTAGGCCATTATTTACACACTGAATTGTCTACGGATTTTTCATTATGAAAAACATACCAACTGATAAAAGATCGCAATAGCGCACATGTAAATTCAGCTTATTCTGGAAATTCTTATCACTAAAGGCTATTTAGATATTGTTAATAAGGAATTCAAATATATTTTTATATCAGCTTCATAGTACTTTCTTGAAGAATAGATTATCTTCTAGGATTTGCCGGTGGATCTTGGTATGCTCATTCTGGTGCTGCAGCTGAATTTGTTTGTCTACCACCTGATCCTAACTTGACCACCAAATTCACCACATCTAATGCTTTCATGCATGGTGCAGAATACGATTCGACTGACTTTGGACATAATAATGGCGATGATTTGCCTTGTGTCGTTTGTAGAAGGACTACACAATCAAGCGTGTTGATGATACCAGGAATGAACAACTGTTACACAGGATGGACCGAGCAATATCGTGGTTACCTTGCAGCTGGACAGTATAATGATGCAGCTGCTACGCAGTATATATGTCTGGATGAACACTCTGATGCTCTTCAAGCGGGAGAACGTAATGACAATGGGAAATTCGTCCATCCCGTAAAAGCGGTGTGTGGAGCACTGGCATGCCCCCCATACCACAACAACACTTACCTATCATTTGTTGTGTGTACAAAGTAAACACGAAGAGAACAATGTCTCTTACTTTTTTTCAGAGTTTAATGAGATAAAATGTTGAAATTTATCCAGTTTTATTTACGTTTCTCACTACAATAAACCATGGATTTCAGGAGATATGTAACAAAACGTATACTAAGAACAAATTAGCCGCAAGCTGATAAACAACCTCTAAGAATTCTAATTGGTGTAATTTCTACTGTGGCGGTCAGACGGGATCGATCGCCGGTGGCCAGATAGCTCAGTTGGTAGAGCACCTGACTGGAGTTTCAGGGGGCCCGGGTTCGAATCCCGGTCTGGTCCGCTGCATTTTTCTCCTCTCCCGTTACATTTGGTGCCGTGCCATGCCCTGGAAGTGACAGGTGAAAGACCTGCCAGGGAAGAGCCTGGGTTGGTGTCTTCGGGGGCCGAAGACCTTTAAGGAGGGAGGAATGTGGCGGTCAGACGGGATCGATCGCCGGTGGCCAGATAGCTCAGTTGGTAGAGCACTGGAGTTTCAGGGGGCCCGGGTTCGAATCCCGGTCTGGTCCGCTGCATTTTTCTCCTCTCCCGTTACACTACTATTATATAATTGACTCGATTTTTTGTGCTTTAAAACCGGTAAATCGGGAGAGAACTGCAAAATACTTTAAATATAAAAACATTGTACCTAATTGACGTTTTCACGTCGGAACTTTTTTTTCTACTAGGGCTAATTAATAATTACTGTTATAATGATTCTTGAATCCGGAATTTGTATCTGACATATCTTAATTTTACAATTTCTTTCGTTATTAGATACTCGTATTCTGTCTTACACAAACCAGAACACAACAAAGTTTGACTATCGTTCAAAACATACATTAATGATTATAAAAAAGAAAAAAATACAATCTAGCAAAGGCGGACCACAGCGTAACAAAGTCGGACTATTATGTAATTCTTATAACAGGAAACAACGGCAAGTAAGAAATGGAACTACAATATCTCATGATAAGTTATCAGTGTACTGAAATACGCAAAATACAACACTCAAAAGGACATCCTTTATTAAACTTTATAATTATAAAATGTTGACCAAGAAAAGATAAAACTTATATGAAAGCTTCCTAACATAGTCCAGATTCAAGTTTGTTTGAATCATGACCAAGGGTAGGCAAAGTTTTACATAGGAATATATATGCAAACTTTCTCTAAAATCCTTCTCAAAGATATCAATATGCAAGCATAAATTCTAGACAGTGCTGATTTAAGTTTGTTCAAATCATTTCCCTTGAATAGGCTTGAACCGTAATAGGGGATCAAAGTTTCAAAGTTTTACATGGGAATATACTAGTATTGGAAAAATGTTTAATTTTGTCCAAAAATAGCAGGACCGTAATTAGTGGTATTAATATGTAAAAGTTAAAGATAACGAACAGTGATCGATCAAAAAAAAAAATCACAAACAACACAAATATATGAAGAGGGCGTTATTAAACATTGTAAAAAGCTTACTAAAGCAAAATGAAAAAAAAATATTATGTGAAGGATGAGATAAAAGGTGGGATCAGGTGCCACGGAGAAGTATGCATCCTCTGTCGATCGGTCACACCATGTGTTCCTTGTCATGATCGGGAAAATGGAAATAGACAATTCAATGTGTAAATAATAGCCAAATAATTAGTATGAAAAACGTCAGTCAGCATTCGACTTAATGAGAGATTGTACTTGCTGACAAGGTCATTGTATCGACCATAGAACTTGCGAAATGATGACTTTCAACGAGACTCTTGGTATCATTGTTTCATCAACTTGTTTGTCAATAGCTATAATTAACAGAAAGTTAGACTATATGAGTTGACATTTTTGCTCTTGTGAGCCACATCATTTTTTTTAAATTTGTAATTGATGACTACAATAAACATACAATCAAACCATTCCAATACCTTAAGCAGTGAAAAAAAATATGAGGAAAAAATTCACTGGATTTATTAAGTTGTTATACGATTTTACCTCACATCTATAGAGATAAATACAAGAGATGACCAATAAAACAAGTACACAACAAAAAACACCAATGTTTCTAGAAAATCATTCAAGACAAGTACAGGTGGTTTATACAGGTGTGTCTCAAGTCTACTTAATGGAGAATTGGTTTTTGTCATTTGTGAGGAAGCCATTAACACACAAAATCAGAACATCAAAATGCAACAATCTGATAAACCTCTTAAGCATAATCTGTCTGATAAAAGATACAATGCAAGCTACAGTGTAATCTGGAAGAAGTAAAAATACAACCTAGATTTCAGCAAAATTAATCCATACATATTCTTCAATCACAGACATACATGTACCAAACTAAGCAACTGAAAAATAAACATCCAATCTCACACTCTCAGTCAATAGTTTAGGTTTTCCTGAAAATCATGGGACTTAATTATATATAATTTTTTTGTATTTTTCTTAAATATCATGGGACTTAATAATTACATGTATGTATGTACAAATTTTTGTATAGTCTGAATTTATCATTTTCACCTGGCCAAAAAGAATAGGATGCAATTTTTTTTTTAAGGAATAGTAATTTCACTCTTAAGAATGATTAACAGTTTTAAACATTTGGAGACTAGACAGTCAGAAATCTTCTGTAAAAGAAACAGAAAAAGTAACCTAAAATTGGCATGGGAATACTTCTTTACAATATTTTTGTGTTTATATTAATAGTGAATTAGCAATTGCAGAAAATCTCTTGTGAATTTAATGCACTGGGATGACTTCGGCAGGCAAGGAGTTTACAGACCTAACAGCTGTAATACTTTATCAGTCACTTACATAAACAGAATTTGAATTTTGAAATCTTACCTCATCTTATTTTTTTATCTTATACTATTTGTTAGGAATCTCTGTTTACATAATTACTTGGCTGTAAATTTTATGTGTCATTTGGTGATTTCACATTCAGACTTGCTACATCAGTGAGGTTAAGTGCAAATGCATGCTACATGCCTTTACTAATGTTTGCAGAATTAAAATTGATCCAAGGTAAAATATTATTTTCCTTCTGCAATTAAGTATCTTTTAAAATTCTGTAAATTGTGTATGCATTTACTTCCCTTGTCCTCTTGTCACATGATGTAATTGTGGGCGATAAATTTTCCTCCCATTTCAAAAGAGTTCCAATGGTGCAAAATTTGAAAATGTTTTAACCAAATTAAGAAAGATTTCAGTCAGAATAGTCACACTTAAGGAAACAGCTATCTTCTATAAATTGTAAAATGATAAAAGTATTTAATTTGTTTTTACATTTAAAAAAATGTGAATAAAGTAAACAATACAATGTAGAATTTGTATCACACAGATTATATAACACTTGATTAATCTCAACATGGTCATTATCATGAATTATTGCACATGCTTTAAAACCATACAACAGTTATTTCTTCAAGTACTTAATTTCATTCAGAGTTTTGCAATCATAGGTAAAAATTACAAAAACGCATTCACATTCTCCCTTCCTGTTAACTTGAGAAAAAAAATGAGTTGCATTTATTTAAAAGGTACCTTTGAAAAAAATTATATGAACAGTTATAATTTCAAACTGGAAACATGAATATTTTGAATGCTATGACATATATTAAAAATACCCAATCAAAACAAGTAAGTAAATAATTCCACAAGCAATAATGAACAAGAAACATCCACTTTCTGCATAATATTTCAAAAATCATGAAACTACATATTTATATAAGTGGAAAACAAAATCAGAGACAACAGAATGGCTTTGTAATTTTCATTTTTTAAATCTGAATTTAGTTTGAGTTATTGTGTTGGTTGTTTAGTATATAATCTTTAATTTACAGATTGATGAGTGATAAATCATTCAATATCCACTTCTATTTGAACACAAAATTTTAGTCCTTATAGGGGAAGAACTCTTAACATAAAATGGTGATGCAAAAAAATATATAAGCATTATCAGTAGGGTTTAAGACATATAATTGTTTTAAAAAAAAATTCAGAAAAAGAACCCGATTTTCATAAGAGTTATCTCTTAGAAAAAAAATGAAGAGTTATCCCTCTTACCAGAAATTGAAAGAGTTATCTCTCTTTGTAAAAGCTCGTTCTTCTTTAAGTTACAGACTGCTGTTGTCTCATTCAGTAAACTTTATGGCACAAACCTAATGTGTGGTCCTACATTTAGCACTGTCTATACATTTATATGTATACATCAGTATTTCAGCACTTCATTCATGTACAATTTAAACAATATCATGCTAAAGAATGGACATTATACTAATATTCAATTTAATTTAACTCCATTTAATCATAAAACTCTCAATCAACACATCTTGTTTTAATACAGAATGAAAGATCAATAAAAAAGGCATTAAAAAAAATACAAACAAATTTTGGTGTTTGGATCTAGTCCTTACACTGAACACAGTCTATATCATCCTAAATAACTAAATTTTTATTTGCATTAGAATTTATTTTTGTGTAATTGGGCAAGACTTCATACCTTAACTAAAGATTATCAACAATATTCACCAAATATTTTTTAATAACTAACTTCACAGAAAGTAAGGTGACATGAAAAACCATATGCTCAGTAAAACTGTCAATAAAATCATATCTTAAATTCAAAGCAAAATGACAGGTTCAAAAAGAGAAAACACATCCAAAAAAAAAAAAATGCAAAAAATTAACTCTTTGTATGAATATCACCTTCACACTAAATGACCTCCATCCCAAAACATCTTAAACTCCTTATAAACAAGTTAAGAATGCCCAACTTCCATGATTCCTCTGACATCCTTTTCCTGTTCCCACAATGCCCTTCACTTCCTGTTTCTACATAGTGACTTCCTGTTCCTGTCCCAGTCCATCCAGTATAATTCCCATCGGTGTCCTCTTCAGTCCCGCGGTCTCCAGTTTGTTTGTCCATTTGTTTTTTAATCCTCTCATTCTCAAGGAAGCATGAATCAAGGTCACTGTAATATACAGAAATTAAACCATTTTAAATCTATATCTACTCTTTACAAATAAATATGCAGACTCAAATCAACGACATTATCAGATAGCTGGACAATACGACCCTAATGATCTTTCTTGCCGAACTCCCAAATAATTAATAATCTGTAAATTTGTACATTTGCGTTGTACATCACTGGTCATTCTACCTACTCACACATTTCTCCTCGTCTGCTTAATCAGGAATGGCACTGAGAGTCTCCTTATAAGTCTTAACCCCTCAAAACTTAATCAGGCACTTACATGTAATTATGATTACATATCAGTTAAAAAACAAGTTTTTTTTTAGTAAAAAATGATATACACAGACACTGATACAATGAATGAATAAAAGTCATGAAAAACTTAACATTTTTTTAAAGTACTTAAATCAAGTAAATATATAGTTCTTTTATAAATAATAAATTCAAACACAGAAATGTTATATGTAGCATGAAATGTCTTGGCAAGAAACATCTTTGGGGGCAAAGAGTCTCAGCCTGAATTGTCAGTGGGGACAAATCGTCCTGTTACCCTGTTCACCTATCAAGCTATTACATTTTTCAAGTAACGCATTCAAAAACAAAAAAATTAGAGGCCAATGGGCCACAAATCTTACCTGAGTCACCTTGGCTTCATGTTCTTCATCATCAGATTTTCTTACATGCAAAATTTTTTGCCCTCTTTATTCCAATGAAAAATTATGACTCAACCTAGCCCCAAGGGTCATGGTTTAACTCACTTCAATCCATTCAACATGGTAACAATAAGAGCAGTACATCTAACATACATGTAGCCTAGCTGTTTTGGAGAAAATTCTTTTTTCCCATAACAAGAATTATGCCAAAATTTAACCCCACCCACAAACCCTGGTTCCATAACTTGTATAAAACAAAAAATTGAATTAAAAAAACTTGACATTATCACATATCAATACCAATCAGTAGTTTTTAAGAACATTTTCTTTAAAGCTTTTAAAACTTTGATCTCCTATTACTGCCCCAATCTATCAACAGGATTCCTAGTGCAGTAGTTCTTGAGAAGATTTGAGAAGATTTTAAAATAGCCACACCCTATTTAAGTTTACAGACATATGGACAGACAAGGTGTGGTCAAAAAAGCAAACTAAACTTACACTTGTAGTTCAGGTGAGCTGAAAAGTTATATACAAAGAGTGAATAAACTTACACAACAGTGGAAAAGCAATCCCGAACATGAAAACAATGACAGCCCCAAACATGTACACGAGCAGATAGCCGGCTGCCACAATGATGATCAGACTAATTACTGGGTGGTTTTTCTTGAATCTGCGAGCCGTCCACTGACTGTTAGTACAGTAAACAAACACACCAAAGGCCGCCGCTATTGCTGCAAATCCACACACCATCTTCACTGGGTGTAGGATCCTTCAAACAGAAGTGGATTCAGGTTATCAATAACAGAAAAACTTACCGGTAAGTCTTGGTAAATTGTATGTATTGTGTTATTAACAGAGGGAAAAAAAATTCTATTTGCACCCAACTTTTAAAAGATTTCAATAGCTATTTTGTAAATATTGAAATTTCATATTAAAAATATGAATTTTACTTTCAATATTCCAGACTTTTCTTTCATACCACAGTTAGAAATTAAAGATTTAATATTTTTTACCCAAGGGTACACTAAAATAAATAGTCAATGCCTTATGTTAAAATTGTCAGTTAAGAAGAAAAGAGTTGGCAAAGTACAAGTATGCATTCAAAACTTAAAACTGAAATCAGAGTTGTGCACTGTGTCAAACTGTGTAAGTGTGTAAGCAAAAATGGAATTGGTTCCCTTTAGGGATAAAATGGTTCGTCATGGTGTTGATTCAACTTGGTATTTTTTGTTGGTTTGGTACACGATACAAAAATCTCCATTTCTGTTTGGTTAAATTTTAGTCAGGATAGTTGTTCAGTCAGGTTTGGCATTGGTAAAAACATGCTACACAGCATGATTAAATTTTAAAAATGTGATTTTGGAGCTCTGATACTTAATAATCTTTACTAATCAATTCTAGTCAATTTGCACGTAGATTAAGTTACTGGTTTCAGTGAAACAAAATATAGAACAACTTTGAATTTGTTTCCTTCTACCAAAATGTATCATATCGAAAATAACTCTACCATGACAAAATGATACAATATGTATCGTACCATGAAGGAGATGTATCATTTCACCCCTAGTTCCCTTGTCAGTTGTTTTGTCAGCCAGTGCCTGAAGCATTGGTGATATATATGTGTCTATGTGTACAAGTAAACTACAAACCTATAATAGTTATAGCCAATGCTCAATAAATATGTAGGGGAAGTAATTTGATGAAAAGGGAAGTATGGAAAATGGAAAAGCTGCAAGCCAGAATTGATTGCTGATACATGTAAGAGGTGACTGTAAAATTTTCAGAATGGTATTGAACACATAGGAGACAGATTTCAAGGGATATTTCATTATTGCAGCTAAAAATTTTCACAATACGGTATCTTAAGAGGCTGGGATCAAAATGAATTTTTTCTTCCACAAACTAAAATTGAATAAATGAATGAATCAGTGCTTTTTTTCTTTATTAATCCAGAGTTATATATAATTGAATCAGTTACTTGTATTAACCACAGGAGTGGGTAGTGCAGGGCTCTCGATTCTCTATATTTGGGGCCGTGTAAAGACCCCATTCCCAATTCAAAAAAGGTATCTTTTTTCCAATTTAAATGTGTTAATTTTTGCAATCTGTCACTTCCCCAAATATTAAAGAACATTTAGTAAGATATGTAGTTACTAAACCTGTAATTCATATTTCTTTATATTACAAAACAGAAATTTAGTTGATACCAACCACCAGAAACTCAATATATCGATCATGAATATAATGTATAATGTCTGGCTAAGAGTTTTCACTTATGTTTTTTTCAAATGAATTCATAATTAACTACTATTTCTCGCTAGTTTTGAGTCCTGAGAATTATAAACTAGAACTGTTCGTCATCAAAATTATATTCAACATTTTAGGAAAGACAGTGTGTGACAAGTAATAATATTAGATCTAGCAGTTTGATCCGATTCTGATGCTAAAATTTTTAGAAGTTTTAGCATAAAATTACTTTAAAATAGATTATCCAGCGAATGTTTACTACTTTATAGGTCTGGGATTAACTAATGCAAGTATACACATTAACATAAGGTGGGAGCTGACTCACGAGCTCCATATAGTCATACCCTATGACGAGGAATACTATGATTGTCATCAGGAAATAGTTTGTCTGGAAGTAATACAAGTTGTGCATCACCCTGTTAGCCCATTTATCTGGGTCATTCAAGTTTGGCATCTGGAAGCGCGCTGACTCCAGCATAAAGTCGCTCAGACTCCGCAAAGGAGCAAACTGAACGTCTGCCATCGTGAAGTTGCTGACAAAATAAGGCCGCTTATGCCACTGATTAAAAAAAATATTTCTGCTAAAGACAAACGCGCTGTCTAAAAAGTAGAGAATCGATTTAGAATCTATTGATTTTGTTAAATCTGTACTTTTTTAATATGAGAAGTTTTAAGAGAATAAATAAAATAGGCTAATATTTTTTTTATTTGATATAAGCAAGTCTTGTTTTCACGTGCGCTTAAGATAATGAAGCGAATATCAATGGATTCAAGCATCAAAATGACATTGACACATAAAATAAAGATTGCTTGAAAGAAGTAAACTGCACATTTTGACAAGTGCAAATAGGAATATACTTGCCTGATTAGGCAAGTGGACTTTTTATGTCAAAAATTTCATTACAATTCGCTTTGTTGTTGGAAATGTAAAGCAAAGGGGCTCGTCTCACAGGCACTTGGTTTCAGGAAGGTGTAGGTGTAGGTTTGTCTGAATACACTCATGAAAATAAAAACTCGCTAAAATTAGCACGTTTAAAAAAATATCAAATTTACTGTATATAAAAAGAGTAAAGGTATGACAGTTTCCAACTTGCCATCTTGGCTTTCAGGGGGTGTCCCTCGGTTTACACTTGATTTTAATCAATATATACACTTTTCCTACTGGTATTGGGTGAAATCTAGCTTCAGAAAGGATTGAATAACGCCCTCCAATTGTTTGCCAATTTGAACTAGCCATATAAAACATGCAGTAAACCAATACGTCCTCGATACCTAGCACAGAAACGGAAAGCAACAGAAGTGACAATTTCTGACTATGTAAAATGTAGAGGCGTCCCGGAATTACATGGAAAGTCTAGAGAGATCAGAAACTGCGCCAGACTTATACTCTCTGGAGTCGAGCCTCTTTATTGTAAACCACTCATTTATTTCTCAAAATTTACCTCACAACATTTTAAGATTTTACATCTAGGATACATTGACTTCTAGTAAGGGTTATAATGTAGGATAAAACTAGAGACTTCTGAACTTTTCATTCTGAAATCTCTGGGTTTATCCTACACTTTAACATCTGGAAAGATTTATTTGAAAAGAAAGAGTCTGTAGAAGCAAACAATGCTATGTTAAAGTAGGTTAATCATGTTAATGATTAATGAATTGATAAAATACAAGTTTTTAAGTGGGGTGCCTGAAATTGAATTAAATAACTTGTGGTACTTATACATGTAGTAAGATTTTTTAATTCATTCAACATAGTGTTGAATTCTTGGAACACAGTAGTACCAGTTTTCATATACAACCGTTTCATCTTTGCTGCTATGATTGATATGGTGCAGTGGCAGTTAAAAATACATGTCAAAACTACTATAAAACATGTCAAAACTACTATAAAACTACTACTAATTACTTGGTAGTGCTTTCATGACTTTGTTAAAGATTTTGGACTTGTTGAATAGATTGTGATGCTATGATTTCAATCTTAAGCAAAATGATCATTTAATGATAAAAAAAAAATTAAATTGATCAGTCTACATTTATTGTCAGGATTTTTACATCATTATTATTAGTTTCCCTTAACTTTTAATAAGGAGCAAAATCTTGTTTAAATGTGTTATTTTCGCCATTATCCATGTTCACAAGAAATTTGGTAATCTCATTTATAATTCAGGGATCTTGGCCAATAACATCTGTTTGATCAGTTTGCATATTCCAAATCCTCCAGTTCCCTATATGAAAGTTTATACAGGGCTCTGCATTGAAAATGATGATTCTTACTTATGATTTGATAAACAGTGTTTCCTAATCACAATTATGATAAATTTTGTTATGTTTACCTCTCTTTTTTTTTTATTCAGTGATAGAATGGATTGGCCGGGTAGATGGAGCCACATTCAGAAGATGCTAGAGAGGACAGGCCCATTTGCCCACCCAGACTTTGAGCCCAGTACAGAGGTAATCACACATATAACACCCAGACTTTGAGCCCAGTTCAGAGGTAGTCACACATAACACCCAGACTTCAAGCCTAGTACAGAGGTAATGAAGCATGATAATATATAGGACATCATTGTTCTGTGATCAGATTGATAAACTTGATATTTTTAGAACTGTTTTATAAGATTGCTTCATCCAGCTCAGCCATAAAACTTTGATGTTTTCTTGTTAGTAGTTTCTACAGCATGTGCAGGAAACATAGCATTTGGGTAACTGTTCCTGGATTATAAGACTTTGATGTTTACTCATTTGTTATTATTTTTAGACATTGAAGTTTCTACAGGAAACATGTAAAATTCTAGTGTTTGTTCCTTGATTATAAGACATTGATGTTTACTTGTTTGTTACTATTTTTAGACGTTGAAGTTTCTCCAGGAGACCTGTAAAATTCTAGTGATTGGTTCTGGAGGCCTTGGCTGTGAACTCCTTAAAGATTTAGTGAGTATGAAAATTAAAATGAAGATTTTTCAGCATTATAAATTAGATTTTGAATTATCAACTAGTACACTAATAATTTGACATCACCTTGAATCAGTCTAGCACACACTGTGTTCTCATCAGCAATAATTGGACTGCTGATTTCCAGATTGAAATTTCCATCAAAATGATGTACATATAACAGTAACTTATTCTCTTTTCTGGTATATTGAAATATGATTCCAAGTTTTGAACCAGCAGATTTAGAAAAGATTGCTGAACCATTAGGCTTTAATAAAGATCATGTTCCTAAGAATTTTTTTTTATTCTCTTTAGGCACTACTTGGGTTTCAGAACATTGATGTGATAGACATGGACACCATTGATGTCTCCAATCTTAATAGACAGTTTCTCTTCAGGTAACTGATTCTTGTAAGATCTTCAAGTAGCTTAGGCCAAGGTAAATAATTATTGTGTTTCCTATTCCAACCCGAGAAAAAATAGGGTAGGTAGGTAGGGAAAACATTTTATTTTATTTTAACATTTTATTAGTTAAAATTCAACTTTGACAATAAACAAAATGAGAAAAACAAAGAGTTCATTTCTTTTTCCCCAAAGGGTGGTTTACTAATGGCATTTCTGTTTAATGTGTATAAGATGTCCATTTTCTCAAACATAGAAGTGATCCATATAGGGGTGAAATGATACACCTCCTTCACGGTTTGATACGTATTGTATAATTTTGTCTCGGTATGGTTATTTTCGATATGATACATTTTGGTAGAAGGAAACAAATTCAACGTTGTTTTATGCTTTCTTTTACTAAATCTAGTCACTTAATTTATGAATTTTATTTGCAAATTGACTAGAAGAAATTGATCAAAATGTTTTGACTGTCAAAAATTATTTTACAAACTATCAGTCCTCAAACATTTACGTTTTCTATACTTACCTTTACTGAGTAACACGTTTTACCTGATGCCAAACCCGACTGTATAACGATCCCGACTAAAAAATGAACTGAACCGAAAATTTAAGATTTTGTACCGTGTATAAAACCGAGAAAAAATACCGTGGTGAATTGATACCGCAGTGAACTGTTTCACTCCTAGATCCAGATTAGGATTTCTAATAGTGAAAATGGAATTGTTTACTTCCGGAAAGATATCAGTGGATAAATTTTTCAGGGTCGGCTCGTATAATTTAGGTTCGGTCGGGGAACCGGAAACATAATTTATTTATCTAGGCCTTATTCTTGTCAGATCTTTAGTTGTTGTGGATATAGTCCAATATACATGTATCTTAATAACTGTACATCACCAAATTCATGAGATAGTTATATGGTATTCATAAGCAAGAAGAAAATAATGGAAATATCTGTTATTACTATTTATTATGACAAAAGAAAGTTTTCTGAGCAGAGAGTCTCAAGTAAGTATGCAAAAATAAAGTTCTCATGCAGTAATTTTATGTATTCTCTGATTTATTTTGATTCAGAGCTAAAGATGTAGGAAGACCTAAAGCTGAAGTGGCTGCAGAGTTTGTAAACAACAGGGTTACAGGATGTAAAGTTACGCCGTATCCATAGAAACAAGTAAAAAATTAAGTGATGGGGTGTAAAGTTACTTGGTAACCTTAGAAACAAGTAAACAATTAAGTGATGGGGTGTAAAGTTACGCCGTATCCATAGAAACGTGTAAACAAGTGAAGTGTAAAGTTATGCTGGGTCCTTGAAGCAAAACTACAGTTATTCATCCCTTTATAAAATGTTGATGGTGCGACCGTTGGGGCGAGAGCAGATACCTATATTCAGTTTTATTTAGATCGGGCTCTTCAAACCACACGTGGCATTTAGTACATCTAGACTCTAACGTCACATGACGTCCCTTGTAAGTTGCATTACCAAAACGAAGTGTGAACAGTGTTAATTTTAATAAAGAAAGTTTAATCTACTATTTAACTGCTATATATCCATCAAATCAAAGTGAGTTTATGCTGTGTCCTTGAGGCAAAACTACAGTTTTTCCTCCCTTTATATTAAGATTTTGTCGGTATTCTGTTTGCATCTGAAACTTGTGATTTTACATCATCTATCAATGTCAGGACTGTTTTATTTTAAGTTTGCACTGCAGTAGATGTTTACGATAATTTATTGTTTCTTTAACTCTCAAAAGCCATTACTGTAAAATCCAGGATTTTGATGAATCTTTTTACAGGCGTAAGTAGAGATTGTTTTTAAAAGCTTTTTATTGTGACATACATTTCATATTTCCATTTTATAAAATTTACTGCTTGTAAAAAGAGTGAACTTCATACAATTATGGCTTTACTACGACAAGTGAGAGCTTATATTTTTATAATTTTGTAGAATTCCACATCGTGGTGTGTGGATTGGATTCCATTGTAGCCCGGCGATGGATCAATGGAATGCTGGTAACTAGATATAAATGTCAGCAGATTATAATGTGATGAGGTTAACATTGCTGAATTTTGTTTTAAATAAGATAATTGTTATGAAATGAGCAACGCTAACATTTTGTTGTAGATCAGTCTGCTACAGTATGATGACGGGGAACTGGACCCCGGCTCAATCGTCCCTATGGTAGACGGGGGAACAGAGGGGTTTAAGGGGAATGCTAGAGTTATCCTCCCTGGAATGACGGCCTGTGTGGATTGTACACTCGATCTTTACCCTCCTCAGGTAAAGGATGACTTGATTAGAAATACCTGTACAGGGAATAGAAAACTTCTATCAGAATAATCTCTATAATCTTTAGCTACAATAACTGATAAACAGCTATCAGGATATTTTCTGTATACCTAATCTGTGAACATTCATTAACAGCTACATGTATCAGCCACCATTGTCAGGTCATGAATCTCTACAGTTATTGATTAACAGTTACCAGAAAATAATTCTCATAATACACTTGTACTGGGTAGTTTTCAGTAGTTGAAAAAACAATGGCAGAATTTCTTTCCTGGGTTGGTTTCCGCATTACCAACTTTATTGAAAACATGATAAAAATTTAAATAGATCTACCTCAAAATGGACGCCCATCTGGCCACCGGCAATCGAATCTGCCAGACACTGTAACCATAATTTCTGTTGCTACCCAGGCCCGAGAATTGTAATTTCAATTTTATTTGCCTTAACTATAAGTTTCTATAGATTCACAGAGTTCTTGTATTTGCTCTTTTCTTAGTCTACTTATCTTAATACTGTAAATCACTTTTTATTCGTGAGAAATTAATTTTTGCATAATTACGCGAGTCTGCCTGCTCACGAAAATTTTATTCCCACATATTTTTGTATTTTTATGGATTATATGCAAAAAATCATAACAACTTGCGAAAATTTTATCTCACTTATAAATAGCAGATAGCTGTCTCGCGAAAATAAGGTGTCGCAAAAATATAGTGATCTACAGTATAAAACATATATGTATTGGTGTGATTTTTTTTGGTTGCAAAAATACCTTCATCAAGAGAGTTTCTATATCTGTCTCTCTGCAGATTTTATTTTTACTGGATTATAATAAAATTGTTCATGGATCAGTTATGTCAGAGAACATGACAAATTCATGGATAGGCTGGACTTCCAATTTTTTGCAAATTGAATATGTTACATGCACTAACTTAGGTCTGTGAAATTATCACCTTTTCAACGCTTACACTTAATTCTGATGTAAAATGTACAGCATACCTCATAATTTTTCTGTTTGATTTGTGAGTGTAAACGTCACTGGCCACTAAAATTCCATACTACACAGAAATGGAAATAAAAATTAGTCCCAGATCTTCACGTTGATGGAGGTACATGTGGCCCTTAGTGCTTTCTAGTTTCCAGGATTAAGTTCTGCCTCTGAATTCATTGATTTCTAGATGAAGCTCTTTATTCATTAAGTTTCTTTTTTTTTCTTTCATTAAATGACAGGGATTGGTAATGTTCTGTTTGTCAGTGAATGTCTGTCTGTCTGTAATGAGCCTTTGTTGACCACCTCTTCATTTATCTCAATTGCATGGGTAGAAAACTTGTTGTTTATTGTATTTTGTGCATTTCAGATTTTTTTATCTGTGGATCTTGGTTGCCAAATTGATTTAATAATGTCTAGAGACAGTTATGTAAAACTTTAGCCATGTCTCTTGTTGAATGAATGGACATGTTTTTGTTATTCTGCCTGAAATTTTTTTATTGTCCTCAAAGAATTTGGTTAATTCAGCTTGTAGCTTTTATTTTATCTTTAATCTTGCCTTAAAAGAGGAATGAACATTGATATCATCACATGATCATGTCTTGTACCAATAACCCACATATGACCTTTGACCTCTTCTTTCCCTTATGGTCCTGCTATTTTAGTGGACTTGTGATATTTTGTTTGTAGATGTATCAGTACAGTACAGTTATGTACATTAGCATGACTGGCCCACACAGTACCATATGTAGTACCATATAATTTGTTTATCTTTCTTGATTCAAGCCAGGCTTGATATATCATAAATGTGCCATATAATGTGTTTATCTTTCTTGATTTAAGCCAGGCTTGATATCATAAATGTGAGTGTAGTATCATATGATGGTGTGTCATGACTCATTAATGATTTTAAAATAGTCAAATCAAGAATACTTAAGGGGGAGAGGAAAGAAGTATGTCTTGAAGATTTTTTTTTATTTCTTACCATATATAACTTGACTTGTTGGTGTATTACGATCATGATAAATGAGTCTAGTGAGCTTGATCTGTGACCTCAGAGTCAAATATTTTGGTTATTTTTGAAGAAAAAAAACAACACGTATAGTTTGAGGCAGAACATTTTTTCAACATGGTGTATGATTTTTGGCAAGTTGGAGTCACAAAAGTGGTGTTATGTATATCTCATTCCTGAAGCACATGTCACCTGGCTAGGAGTCTTAAGATGCTTTAGTTTATGGTGCTCTAAGTTCTTCTCGAAAATATGTATTGCTGATAATTTGATCTCATTCTCATTGAGTTTGAGTAATTTGTTTTGATATTTGCATGAAAATTGAGACACAATTGCATGCATTGAATCTCTGTATCAATCTAAAAAAAGAAACTGAATTATTCCAGATATAAAGGAACTTACCTTTAAATCTCTTTGTATCCCACTTCTGAGAAAGACTTGGAAGATATTTATTAAGGGCAATTTCACCAACAGTCTGGACTTTTTGTGTTGCTAATATACAAAATTTTAGGCACCAATCAAAAATTTTAGGCACCATGGCGATTAAATTAGTCACCAGTTTGAGCCGTGTTATGTCTTTTTTTGACAATTTTATGTGGTATGAGTTTATGTATGTCACCACCACAGGAACTCCAAACTATGGGTTAAATTGTGCTAAAAAAGAACTAACTTACGAAATAATGCTTATTTTTCTGTTTTCTTTTTTAGGTAAATTTTCCTCTGTGTACAATTGCCCACACCCCGAGGCTACCAGAGCACTGTATAGAGTACGTCAGAATTCTACTGTGGCCTAAAGAAGAACCTTTTGGAAGTAGGTATCACTTATATTATGAAAGTAGAATTAGTGAAGTATATATGCTTAGAAGTACTGAAAATCACTTTATTCACAAGAACTTTTTTTTTCGCATAATTTCTGCTCTCAAAAATTTCATTCTTGGGCATATTTTCATTTTTAAAGATTATTATTTATGATACAATAACAAGAATTTGTGAAAATTTTGTCTTGCTTATAAATACCAAATAATTTTCTTGTGGAAGAAAGATGTCCGGAAAATTTGATGATCTCCAGGAACAGGGGTATTATTGTACATGGCTGTATAAATGTAAAAACTAGGGATGTCAACGAATAGTCGACTATTCGACTATCAGTCGAATGGACCGACGATCGAATAATGAAACGACATTCAAATATTATTATTATTAAATAAATGCAACAAAAGAGTGATATAATGAGATGGAATTCTCATCTTAAATTTGAGAAACCGTCTTTCCTCAGAGACAGTCGAAAATTTTCCTCAACAAAAAACGATTGACTTTCCATGTACTTAGAGAAAGTACAGTAAATGTAAGTGCTTTACTACCGCGGGAATTATATGTCAGATACTGCTTGTGTTGTTTTTGTAATAAATTACCCATCAAATTACTGGACTTTGTTTGGAAAACTATTAATTGGGCTTGATCTTATACCCTGTATCAATTATATTTTGTTATTTTAGGATTGCTCAAATCCAAGGAACACTATAACTGTGACAAGTTTTGACACTTCTATAATCATTAAAACAATCCGCTTACACTTTAAGGACATTTGATAGCTGGGGCAATCAACTGAATAAGCTAGTATCTAACTGTTTAACAATATCACGAGCACCTGATTTTTATTTATTTCATAATAAACTAAAAAAAAAATTTTTAAATATCGGCTGGCAATTTTTAAATAATGCTTCCTAAAAAATAAATTGACTGTTTAGACCGATCTATGAATTCGATTGATGGGGAAATTATACAATCTTGGAGAATAAGGTGTCTAAATTTATTTCATATAATCATGCTATCCACACGTTACGTTTGATTAATTTTGAGGTTACCTTTTAAATAGATTTATGTAAAAGGGTTTTTAAGTTACAAATACGTCATGTACCCGTGAAGTTTAGAATAAAATTTTATTTTCAGACATTGTTCCGAATATTCGACTATCGTTCGAATAATGCAGCTGAATAATCGACTAAGGAAAATAAATATTTTGACATCCCTAGTAAAAACAGAAATAATGTATACATGGTTTACAAAATATATCAGCAGAATTTTTGTAGCCACTAGACCAACTTGATTATGAATTTTAAGATCTGAAGTTAGTCACGTATGTCAACAGAACTATACATGTAGATGTGTCACAAACAGCAATAGAATTTATTACTGTAAGTGATTGAAGAAGTTGATCGAACAAAAGAAAAGTACAGTCAAACTTCGTTATCTTGAACTAGATTGCACCAAGAAAAAAACTGAGAGATATCCGAGGGTTCGAGATGTCAAGGTAAAATACGTAAGAAATGCATGGTTAGGACTTCAAAATGACTTCGACATATCCATGGTATTCGAGATATCCATGTTCGAGATACGGAAGTTCAACTGTATATAATATTTGATCATCAAATTCATCACTTAGGTGACCTTTTCTGTATATTCCTGTTTGCTGTTCTGCAGTTATGTCTATTTTATGTGAATTTTTGAAGAATTCCCAGTTCTTCTGTGAAATGGTTGAACCAATTTCTTCTCAGTATAGCAACCATTGTTAAAAGGGAACAAAAATTGTGAATTTCACAGAGAAAGTCCTTGTTTCTCAAAATCCTGATGAATAGGACTAAAACCATCAGAATTAGGCAACTTTAAAAAAATTTAAATTTGTTATCCCTTAACAAGCAAACTGTAAACATGATTATTATGAACAAAGAGCTCTTTACAAAAAGTGTGCTTTTCATATCCCATAACTGGACCCAGGAAGAAGTGATCATACATTTAAAATGCATTTAGGTCTGAAAATTTTCCTCTTTTCTCCCAAATATTTTACATGTAGAAAAAAAACAAGTGGGACAGACAGACTGACAGCATGGACAGACAGACTGACACTAGCTGACAAACAGACTGACACTGGCTGACAGACGGACTGACACTGGCTGACAGACAGACTGACTGACACTGGCAGACAGACTGACACTGGCAGACAGACTGACAGCATGGACAGACTGACACTGGCTGACAGACTGACTGACACTGGCAGACAGACTGACAATGGCAGACAGACAGACTGACAATGGCAGACAGACTGACAGCATGGACAGACAGACTGACACTGGCAGACAGACAGACTGACACTGGCAGACTGACTGACAGCATGGACAGACAGACTGACACTGGCTGACAGACAGACTGACTGACAGACAGACTGACACTGGCTGACAGACTGACTGACACTGGCAGACAGACAGACTGACACTGGCTGACAGACTGACAGCATGGACAGACAGACTGATATTGGCTGACAAGCAGACTGATATTGACTGACAAGCAGACTGACACTGGCTGACAGACAGACACTGGCTGACAAACAGACAGACACTGGCTGACAGACTGACTGACACTGGCTGACAGACTGACAGCATGGACAGACAGACTGACACTGGCTGACAGACTGACACTGGCTGACAGACAGACGAGGAGGACACTTATAGTGCCCTCTGGTTTCCACTGGTAGGGGACTAATGATATGAGACAGTATACTTCAAATTGCAAAATGGCTCTTAGAAGTCGCAAAAACAGTGAATCGTGGACTATGACCAAGAGATTTTATATAGATTTCAGCACCAAAAAAATTAAAAGCAAGTAAATTTAATTTGCAAGTGGTGCTTCTCGCAAAGTTCCATGGTTTTTAATTCCTGGGGTATATTTAGGAATCTGTTGTATTGCTGCTTACCTTTGTTTATTTCTCTTTTGTCAAAGAGTACTTTATCATCACAGACTCGGATTATCTATTCCTACTTACCCGTAACTCCAACTTCCTATTAATTTTTCTGAGGTGGTGTAATTATTGATGGAGATGACCCCCATCACATCAAATGGATCTTAGAAAAATCTATAGAGCGAGCCAATGAGTACAACATAAAGGGAGTTAACTACAGATTGACACAGGGTGAGTGTAGAAAAATCTATAGAGTGAGCCAATGGCATTAATTTTTTTTTTGTTAAATTGACACTTTATTCAAAATATATTTATCATTTAAAGTAAAAAAAAAAAATTAATAATGCATTCATAATGTAATTTAAATATAAATGTAGATACAACACAAGTAACTCAACAGAGACAGGCTGCGCGCCGTCAATTCAGCAAAATTTCCCCCATGCATTAAAATTTTCTGGGGAAAACACTGAATGAATATAACCTAAAGGGAGTTAAATAGTAGTGTAATAATTTTGAATGAAATTATAAAATTCTTCCACATGCACTGTAAAGTAAGACTGATTGACTGACATTATCTCTCACAGGTGTGGTCAAAAGAATTATCCCTGCTGTGGCCTCAACCAACGCTATAATAGCAGGTCTGTACAATTATGTCATTCATTCAATAAGTAACTGCGTATCTGTAATGTATGAGGTTTCAACTTTATGGAGACATTGGCTATTTGTTTATTTATGGATTATTTGTTTATTTAAGGATTTTTTGTTTATTTATGGATTATTTGTTTATTTATGGATTATTTGTTTATTTATGGATTATTTGTTTATTTATGGATTATTTGTTTATATATGGGTTATTTGTTTATTTATGGATTTTTTTTATTTATTTATTGATTATTTGTTTATTTATGGATAATTTGTTTATTTTTGGATTATTTGTTTATTTATGAACTATTTGTTTATTTATGGATTTTTTGTTTATTTATGGATCATTTGTTTATTTATGGATTATTTGTTTATATATGGATTATTTGTTTATTTATGGATTATTTGGATTATTTGTTTATTTTTGGATTATCATGAACTTTATATTCTTTATAGAGGAGTATTGTCACAATTTTAATTCTGTCAGATTTTTATACAATCAATAAACAGTAATTCAAAAAAAAGGTTTGCTTCAGTGATAAACATTTAATAATTGATTTCATATTTCTCAGATCATGGTGAAAATAAAAAAAGATCATTTTTTCTGGTACTTTTTCTAATTATTTTGTATTATTGACATGTATCTGATTTTTCAGTAAAATAACTTAATTTCTTTCCATCAATTTCAGCTGCTTGTGCAACAGAAGTTTTTAAAATAGCAACAAGGTAAAAACAATGTGATTCCCATTTGATTATTTCTTAAACTTTGAAAGTATAAATGTGTAAAATGAAAAAATATTTGTTTATTTTGAAAATTTTTGTGTCTTAATTGTTTTTAGAAGTATCAAATTTTTCCTTTTTCTGATTCTCTCAGTTGCTGTTTGCCGTTAAATAATTACATGAACTTTAACGACACGGCGGGCATCTATACTTACACATTTGAAGCTTTAAAAAAGGTAGGTATTCATACTCATACAATGGTAAGTATTCATACAATCTTTGGCAATCCTTCCCAAGGCTGTACATGTCATGTATCATCGAGCACCTGTACACAAGTATCATCTAGCACCTGTACACATGTATCATTTAGAAACTGTACACATGTATCATCTAGCACCTGTACACATATATCATCTAGCACCTGTACACAAGTATCATCTAGCACCTGTACACATGTATCATCGAGCACCTGTACACATGTATCATCGAGCACCTGTACACATGTATCATCTAGCACCTGTAGACATGTATCATCAAGCACCTGTACACATATATCATCTAGCACCTGCACACATGTATCATTGAGCACCTGTTTCATCTTCAAACACCTGACACAGGCACTGTTGTTTCCTCTAGACTAACATTTGAAATGATATTGCATTGTTGTATGCCCCATCATGTGAAATACAGCATTAATAATTGATATGGTAGATGTTTATTTATCTCACACAATTTTGTTTTTGTAAAAAAAAAAAAATGATGAAACAACCTCTTGAAAGCACCCCCAGGCTGACTGATTTTTTGACTTAATAATGAATGATGCATTGAAGGTCTTTTTTCTACATTAAATCATTTACTTTAACATATAATAAATATTCCAAATAATAAGATAGATGTAATATGCTTTACTCTCTGTATTCTATTTTTTAACTTACATTTCTTCTCTCTATTCTTTAAAAATACATAAACTGTCAAACTCTTAAACAGAAGAGTGTCAAAATCTATAAAACTTTTGAATTAAGGGACTGTGTCAAAAATAGTTTTGACCAAAAGTTTTGGATAAAGCATTACATGTTGAATAAAGCTACAGTTTTTTAAAGACTAATATTAATAAGAAAACTGTTTTCTTTTTACAGGAAGACTGTGTGGCTTGCAGCAATATACCTCAAGTTTTAACATTCTCAGAGAACGATAAACTCCAAGACGTTATAACATATCTTATAGAAAGTGCTACGTAGTAAGTACACGGCTGGTAGTTATTGTTGTAAAGGCTATATCTTTATATCAGGACTAAAACAAAAACGGTTAAACTAAGTCAAAAGGTAGTAGGGAAGTCAAGGCCTTGGAATTGTTACCCAAGGCCATAGGCTGAAGTCAAAGAAAACAGCTTTCCAGGTAATTCCCACAGAGGGACAAACATATGGCTGTTCCTTAAATTTTTGAATAATCATTTTTGCTACAACCCGTGTCATTGATTTATCAAATTATCAATCAATGCATTTATCAAATACAATGCATCATATTTAGAAAAACATTGCTTGTTTTCTCTCTGATATCCTGATGTTTTTTTATTCTAACAGTCAAATGAAGTCCCCAGGTATCACTACTTCAGTGGATGGTAAAAACAAAACTCTGTACATGCAGACTGTCAAATCTATAGAACAACGGACAAAGGACAACCTCAAGAAAACACTTAAAGGTAAAAACAAAACTCTGTTCATGCAGACAGTTAAATCTATAGAACAACGGACTAAAGACAACCTCAAGAAATCACTTAAAGGTAAGAATAGGATGCTCATCTCATTGATACATGTAAGTGAGGGGTTCATGTCAGACATTGAATAAGGGTTATAAGAACAATAGCTTGAAGGAAAAGCTTTTTCAACAAGATAGAGTTGATTTTATATAGCACATTTTTGAATGTATATATAGTGTTTATTGATAATGTAGACTTAAACAAGACTTTTGTTGTAGTAGAAGCTGCAAAAGATAAGAAATAAAATACACAACCAAGTGTAATATGTTTACAGTAGTTGACTAGGGTAAAGTCTCAGTGGAAGGCAAATGGAACATTTTTGCTAGCACTCTCGTGCGCTAGCAAATATGTTAGCCTTTTTAGCTGGGATACGCATACTCGACTTCACGGTAGGGCATTCTGGGAATACAACTGTAGATAAACTGTACCATGACAATTTTGTTTTATTATCTGAAAATACGTATGATCTGAAATTTTATGTTTTGTTCTCTAACCCGTACATTAATGTACAAAATAACAGTAACTCAGGTCTTATAATGCCAAGACTATAGAGATCAGTTATTTCTAAAATTATAATAAATACCTATCTTTTCTTGACTACCTTTCTGGATCTTTCCCTCAAGCTCAGATATGTTTTCTGAGCTTGCCGAAAAGGCCCGAGAAGATGCAATTGCTACAAAATATAGTACTGGACTGGAATACTGAAAATAGGTGCTTATTGGTTCTATAATCTCTTATCTGTCACCTGAAAATTGAAATTACAGTAAACTACAGAATGCTTAAAGCACAGTTAATGAGTCATGCCATTGATGGCTACAGCGCTCACTTATCTTTTTAAGATATGCTTGTTTTAAATTAAGAAAAATCTTGAGTTGAGATTGCTCCATTAGTGTGTTTTTTTTCATCAATAAATGCTTGTGATATAAATTTTAATTTTGAAATCAACTATCTAAGGGTAAGCATTTTATTTGTTCTTTTTAAATGGTTCTAGTTCTGTGAAGATTGTGGTAGTATCAACAGCACCTCTTCTATGAAGATCTTAATTATAATTTTTCTACTCTACTTTCATTTAGAATTGGGACTATCAGATGGCCAGGAGTTATATGTAGCTGACCCCACAACGCCAGCATCTTTGACCTTCAAACTACAATTAGGGTCAAACATGGAGTAAGAAAATCACGTGACTCTCTACTGTCATGATCATGTGACATAGCACCTGACTGTGTTAAAGTGAAGGTAGAGTAGTCCTAGTGATTCATCCATTTGAGGAAATAACTCAAGACACAACACTGGGACTAAATCTACAAATACATGGTGTACCTAGAATAGATACATCTCAATAGACTGGCTTATTTACTAATTATTTATTTTGTTTATTGCTGCTTTGTACGTGTATTGTATGTTTTGTTAATTGTGTTTGTATAGAAGAAACTGATGAAGAAGTATGTATAACTACATGTATATTTCTGTGTTCAGTCTGATTTGTTTTAACGCAAGGAATTTTCAATTTCAATGTTCAAAATTTTACTGAAAGAACATGCAAAAATTAGAGTTATGTCCCGTTGATCTTCAAATCAGCCTACCTCAACCTACCATGATGAAGACTTTTATTATGTTAAATTGTTTTTATCCCCCCCCCCCTTCCCCACCGCCTGAAAAGTGGGGGTATATAGTGATGGGGGTGTCCGTCCGTTACACTTGGGGGTATTGTGTAGCCATCCCTTATCTACACCTCCTCTTACAGCACTGAATGCAATTTAATGAAACTTTCACAGAATCTTTATTGAATTGTATCATTGTGCGTCTCCTATTTTACGTTACGATAGGTTCTCCATATCAAAAACATGGACACTGACATGCTTTTTCTAATATTGGTGGTACCCATCTCTTAATCTTATCTGCAACTCCTCCTTTATTACTGGTCGCCCGCGTGGCGCAGTGGTTAGAGCGTCTGCTCTAGAGTCGCGTAGTAAGGAGTTGATCCTTACGTCGCGGGTTCGAATCCCACTGTGGGACGTGTAGAATGGACCTTCGGATGAGACCGTATAAACCGAGGTCCCGTGTCGCAGTACGTGCTGGCACGATAAAGATCCCTCACCACTCATTGGCCGCAAGTGCCGAGCATAGGAAAAAAATTCGCAGCTCTCCACCGGCAAGTGGTGGCGTCTCCATATGAGTGAAAAATTCTCGAGAGGGACGTTAAACAACAAACAAACAAACAAATCCTTTATTACTGAATTAAAATTTCAAGAGACTTTCACAGAAAGAGGAAGGGGATCTAAACACAGTGACGGCTAATTCCATGGTAGTTTTATGCGGTTAGAGTGATCTGCTCTTTGACGTAAAATAGAATAAACAGATATCTACTATAATAGACACAATTTTAATTACAATTCTCAAGATTATATTGGACCACAAAAACACCATTCGCGTTTATTTTCCCAATGAAAGTAAACAAAAGTGATTTCTGTTTAGAAATGCTTCTTTATCTTTGAACATTTTTTCCCTTGATAACCATATGACAGGTACAGGTACACCATATGACAGGTACTGGTACACCATATGACAGGTACTGGTACACCATATGACAGATACTGATACATCATATGACAGGCACTGGTACACCATATGACAGATACTGGTACACCATATGACAGGTACTGGTACACCATATGACAGGTACTGGTACACCATATGACAGGTATTGGTACACCATATGCTGAAAATGAACGAGGTAGATTCATTGTAACATCTTTACATGATAAGATTTTCTCAGAGTCCAAAAAATTTAAGTGTTTGGAGCTTAAATTGACTGAGTACTGAGTTCACATAATGATAACCCCTCCCACCCCACCCCCGCTCCTATATGTATAATGGCATAGTACATTTCTTGGCAGTGTGTAAACGAGATGTTTGAAAGTTCCATTGAATTTCGTTTAATTTTTCTTTTCCTAAAAATATGCCAATCATTTAAACAAGCCAAATAAGTTAAATCAGTTAAATAATTATATACCTGTATACCTCTAAATATTTTTTTCTGTTGTCAAAAAGTATTTTGATTGTGTCCCCCTTTTTTAATACAATGTTATTCATGCAGCGAAGTCGAGTTACATTTGCACGTGTAATATTAATAACACGTGTAATATTAATAACACGTGTAATATTAATGACTTATTATTTAAAGAAATCGTAACGTTTGACTCAATTTTCTAAATGAAATTCTTAACATGAATAATTTATGGTGAAAATTTCAATTCATTTGTATTTTACAAGAACGCAAAAATATAAAACATTCTTAGTTAAAGTATATTAGTAATTTCTCAAGACTGGGTTAAAAAAAAGAAGGAAACTGACATATATTTTATCCCTGTCAGATCTAATTTTTCACTTCCCGTTCTCCGCCGCTACAATAATTGTAGTTTTTATTGTTTCCTTATTGAAAGTGTAAGCGTGTATAATTTTAAAATATTTTATTCTTGGAAAAAAAAAAATTAAAGTGTTATCGCGAATTCAGTTTCAGGAGACAATTAAGTGCATGTGAACTATGATTAGAATTTCCCATGCCCTGCTTTGTCAGTATAGGGATGTTGATATCTAGCCATATTCTACTCACTTGATCACGTGATCAAACTTTGACCAGGAAGACGGAACGTTTACAGACCAAGTCACATGACTTCTCAGAATCAGCTAAATTTAGGAAACGTATCATTTCGATCGTTTCTACGACAGAATGTGAAATGTTGAGATGTACGGACTAATCTTCCGTTTTATTTTATGCCTGCTATAGGTAAGAAAACTGGCTCTTTCTATTTTTTGTTTATTTATTTTTTCAGCCTTAAACATGCACAGTGTATGTTTCTGGAATCGATTGAAGTTTCTTGTCAGCGCCCTCCATTTACGGGATATGTTTGCTTTCACTCTTGTTCAGGTGACCAAATCTTGACTGTAAATCGCTTTTCAAAGGTAAACCTAACGCAGCAGATTATTGCATTAATAAAGGGGCGCAAAAGTTAGTACATTTGTACCGATGGCTTGGATTTTCAACTATTGCAGGCAATAACGAGATGGCGTAAGCTTAACCTTTTGATCGTAGGAAACAAAGTTTCCACCTACTAAAATTCAATGAAATTTACCCGATTTTCCTCTTCTAACGCTTGGTCTGGTGTAAGATATACAATCCACGTGACATTTCTGTGTGACGTAAATCTAAACACGTCAACGCCTACTGAAAGTCCAAGGTATTAGTAGAATTGTAATACCACATAGCATCAAAGTAATCAACGACTCTGACACCTCTCCGTTACTACAGAGTATAAGCAGAGAAAAGAGCAGTTGCCAGTGATTCAATGTAGAAAACAAATTAGCTAGGGAACCCATCATTATATAGCGTCAATGTAGCGAACCTATCATTATTGCATCAATGTAGGGAGTCCATTAATTTTTGTGTTTTTGAAAGAAACCTATCATTATAGCCTCATTTAGCTATGGAACAAATCATTATAGCTTCATTTTAAGGAGCTCATCATTAAAGAGTGGTTTTAGTAAGGAAACCCATCATTATAGCGTCATTTTATGGAATCCATCATTAAAGCGTCATTTTAGAAACCAGTCATTAAAGCGTCATCGTAGGGAACCAATCACTGTAAAGCCAGTGTACGGAACCCATCATTATAGCGTCAATTAATATAGGAACAAATCATCATTGATTTGCAGGGAGCCCAAGACCGTCACTTTTGCGTCAACGTATAGAGCTCATTAATATAGTGTCGAAAATGAGCGTACGTATTAGACAATCATTGTAAACAATTTAAAGAAACACCGTGACGGACAAACGGGAAAATTGACAAAAGTAGTATTCTTGCAAGACACATGCAAATTTTATTCAATTCTTGAAAGTATTAGGTTTCAGAAAATTACAGGTTTCAGAACCTAAAAAATCTAATTTTTTGGAGAAAAATATAAGTAAAGATAATTTTAGTTTGCCCCAACACTAAAATATTGCTTCACTTCTTCCTCTTTAAGGTACGCATGCGCAGAAAAGTTGAAGAAGTTACCATGGTGTCAATTCCATAGATATAAATGTCGAATGACCGAGAATTTTGATATAATCTTTAAAATGATCAGAACTTATTCCACACTTTTGATTGCTCCAATTCAATGTTGTTTACTAGTTTCACGCTAAAAATAAAAGACACATGACCTTGACATTGACGATACAATCACGCCATAGATCGATACGACTTTTCTTTTTTCGGCACTTACATTTTGCAGTCTTTTCTTGCTTTTACCGTGCAGTTGAGATCTCAAAACTTCGCCTTATTCATATTTCTAATAAATCTTTAGCTTTATGATACAATTATTTTAAAAGAAGCACATGATATTGCCTCACTATGTAACTTTAAAGACTATCTTTCAAAAAATAATGATTCAATGCTTAAATATCTATCTTTTAAACACCATGTACCCCTTCGTCAAGATGATACCTATGCTTATGTGGGTTTGTTAAACTTTTCATCATTTTGACCTTCACCCTAAACAATGTACAAGTGGTCGTATCAAAATACAATTTGAGTCGGGAAATAGAAACTAATAAATACTTATGCAGGCATTGCATTTATAGTTGGAATTCTAATTGTATCATTAAGGGTTTACAATATGCCGGAACTAAAGTTAGTCGCTATATATTCAGTGTTGCGCTGATTGCCTTTAAACCATCTGGAGTATTAGATATATAATAGATCTTTTCCTATAAATTCTTCGCAAACGAAAACCAGATAATGATCACTGCGATAAACAAAATTATTTGAAAATGGGAAAAAAAAGTAAAATATAATTGGTGCTCGGTAAAAACAAGCATTAAATATTTATTTATATACTTAAAAGTGCCATTAATCACAAAACAACAAAAGCAAACACAAATTACTAGAAAATTATTTGATGTTAGAAGACGGGTTCATGGGGACTTGGAGTATGAATCCCCTCTCCTCCAACCCCCAGCAAAATATACGAGTTAAATGCAATTATTTATTTGTAATATGTTGTAATAGTGACCCCTTATCCAGTTGCAGCTCTGCCCCTCCCCTCCCCCATTCATAGTCTCTTAAGGTTCTGCCTCTGTTGCTTTAAAATTAAAGTTATGTTAAACTTTACTTGATAACCACAATAGAGATTTGCAAATTTAGGTTTGAATTTGATTTTAAATCAAGTTTTGCCATTAAGCTTCTATGATTCAAGTATAATAAGCAGTCAGTTCAAAATTTTTGACATATAGACGCGTCAAGCACGAATAAAATAACAATGCAACCCCTATTTCGAACCATAAAAATGTCTCACTGCATGGACATAATACAGACCATTGTCGAATATACAAGCGTATAGTATATATGTACATTTGTACATGTATGCGACAGGAGCAATTTCCTCCATGTTGATCGCTGTTCTTCTCAGATCCATTCACTAATTCGCCTTGTAATTATTTTACTTCCTTCATTGTATATAAATAAACATGAACTGCAGTCAAAAACGTCGAGAAGGAAATTTTTCATGTTATTTACACATTAAATCAGTTATAAATTTACATTTCAAAAGCTTTTAGTCATGTTACACAAGCTTCTTACGGCTTTTAGCGCGCCCCCTGATGGAAGACTTGCTTAGGCCCTCGTTACACATAAATTGTACATAATTAGTGCACTAAACAGCTAAACGAAGCTAGGTTGAAGGTATAACGTTGAAGAATTGATTGATTGTATGTTGTTTTACGTCTCATTCGAGAATTTTTCACTCATATAGAGACGTCACCATATACCGGTGAAGGGCTTCAAATTTTGACCTTTACTTGGCGCTCAGGGCCACTGAGCAGTGAGGGTTCTTTATCGTGCCAACGCCTGCCTCGGTTTTAAGGTCTCATCCAAAGAACTCGAAACTTTCACTTCAAAGTGCCGAGCGCTTGGCGAAGGAGCAGTTGCTTCCTTTTTTTATTGACTTAGGTCAGTCGCGGCCGGGGTTCGAACCCACGATCTTCCGATAACGGAGCGAGCGCTCTACATACATAGCTACCGTGACGGTAAATGTTTAAAGAGAGAATAATTTCTATTAGGGATGGCAATCGAATACAAAATTGCTTATCGCTAACCGCAAAACGTTCCGACCGATTGACAGGTTAATCGTATCAAAATTCCAATTTCTTGACAATATTTTTTCCCACGCAGCTCTATTCAAATACACAAGAAGACTAAAAAAAGACATTAGAATTTTTTTTATACATTCTGTTTATCTTGATCAGGAAACTAAACGTACATCTATTTCAATTTCAATAGACAAAAAAAAATTAAGAAAACCATGAAAATTTTCCTGAGAAATCAGACATTGAAAATTTATCACAGCAGTTGTCACATTCGTTCTGAATTGTCACCATACTAGTAATCGAAACTTTGTCTGAACTTTCACTTAATTTACAATATTTGTACACGTCTAATAATATAATTTAATAGATAAGTGCAGAAAGTTATATCAATTCACAGTGCTCAACAGTGATTTTTTTAATATCATTAAAGAATAATAGGACAGTCGGGGTAACGACAAAGGTGTTTTTGAAAACAGTAGTAATTAACACTTCACAAATCGTCCAATTACCCTGCGATCTCAATCCAGAGATATATTTTACTTTTTCCCACTACATGCACTAACCGATTATAGATTTTCTAACCGATTACCATCGTTCCGACCGAGTAATCGGTTGACCGGTTACATATTTTCATCCCTACTTTTTTTAATATAAGTCATTAACAAAGCAAACGTTAGGACCGTTACTATAATATCAACAGAACATGCAGAACAAGACCGCATTTTAAGTCATTTCATTTTTTCCCAAAATTTGTAGAAAGAGTTTTATTTACATTAAACTCAAGGAATCCCAATGTGGGACGTGGAGACCGGTCCTTCGGATGAGACCGTATAAACCTAGGTCCGTGTCGCAGTACACGAGGGCACTGGCACGAAAAAAATCCCTCATTGCTCAATGGCCCTGAGTGCCGAGTATAGGTCAAAATTTGCAGCTCTCCACCGGCAAGTGGTGGCGTCTCCATATGAGTGAAAAATTCTCGAGAGGGACGTTAAACAACAAACAACAACAACAACCTCAAGGAGCTATATTTGATTTGCATTCGAGATCATTCACAAATGCATTCACTAATATACTTATTTCTTTTCTTACAGGTGACTTCAAAATGTCATTGTCCAAACAAGTGGCTATTCAAACGGTGTGTGATTTCTGTGAAGCGGAAGTTAACGTCAAATGGTTCTGCCGTGATTGCGTCAATAATATGTGTGTACAGTGTAAGCGCACCCACACAAAAATCCCGCTTTGTAAAAGTCACGTGATTTTGCCGATCAGTGAGAGTCTGATCGCTCCTAAAAAGCAATCCACTGTTCACACTAATTGCTCTGAGCATGCGCAAGCTTGCCAATTTCAGTGCCGCAGCTGCAACAAAGAGATTTGTGTTTCATGTCTCACCACGACTCACAAATCCCACGATTTTCTAGCGCTTAATGAACACACTAAAATCGTCAGAGAAAATCTTTACCTGTTGCTAAATTCGAAATCGAAAGAAGCCCATGCCATTTCTGACACGCTAAAAACTCTGACGTCACACGAAGAAACGTATGACGATTGGGTAAACCAGAAACTGAGGGAAGTCGATGAAGTTTTCGAAAGTTTATCAACGGAACTGGAGAGGCTTCATAAAGAGATACACGATACAGTGGAACAGAAGCGAAGTAACGATATCATTTCAATGGATAAACAGCACAAAAAGGCCTACGATTTCAAAGATCGCCTCCAGTACCAGGTACAGGTTCTGGGACATGAGTTAGATCAGTGTAGTGACCACGACCTGTCAGACCTGAAAATCAAAATTGAAACGGAATGCAACAACCTCCGGGAAGACCTTACCCTAGATCTTCCAAAACTTCCGATGCTTAGGTTATTACGGGAAGGGGATGAACATAGGGGCATTCTGATCAAAGTCCTCACAAAGATCATGAAAACTGATCTTTTCAGTCTGCAGACAGCAAGTTCCTTTGAAGTCGATAGTGACAATCCTGTTTTCAGAGATGATATTCACGTGGACGTATCGATCACAATACCCGGATGTAAATATATTTGGTCGGTGGCCGGATATGACGATGGTAGGATGTGGGTAGCTTCGGAAGACAGAATGCTTCGTCTGGTGGACAGTTTTGGAAACATAATTCGATGTCTGAAGATGTCACAGAGCGCCGTTCACCTAGCTGTACTGACAACTGGTGATGTCCTGTGTAGCAACGGATACGGGATAGACAGGTCAGCAGTCATCCAGAAGGTGTCCTTGAACTTTAACATCACTACCTTTTCCCGCCTTTCTCCGACTGTCGAAATAGGGCCTCTAGCTTCTACCAAACGTGGAAATGTTCTCGTCGGCATTCGGAACTCTATCGGAAGAGGCGAGGTGTTACATCTGTCTACGAGTGGAAAAACTATAAATAAAGTCGCCCAGATCACGAGAGACATTGAGCGGATAGTGACGGATGATGACGAGAGAGTCTTTATCAAAGACACTGCCTGTATCTGGATAATGAGTTTAAAGGGGGAATTCTTAAACCAGATAGAATTGAAACATGATTTGAAGGGGATTCGGGGAATAGACTGTGACCGGTTTGGAAACCTTGTTTGTTTTCGCCCAGGAGACGTGAATAATGTAAGGGTTATAAATACTGAAGGGGTTTTGTTAAAACAATTCCGCCTCAGTTTGAAGTCTGGAAATGAGAGAGATATAGACATAGGTTGTATTGATATAAATGATTGTATATGGATTAAAGAGGAGGAATCTTTACAGGTGCTGAAATACCTTGTTTAGCGCCCTCTGTGAATTAAAGTTCATTTGATCCTCTGATAAGGGAGGCAACTCTCGATAGATTTAAAGACTCATCATTCGCTTATAATATCATCAAGTTAAAAAGCGATTTCTGTCAAAATTTGCACCGCAAGGAATGTTTAAAATATTGGCATATATATCGTCATAATTTAGATTTCTTTGGAAAACATCATGAAAGCAAAATTTTAAATTTTATATTAGTAAACAGCAATTTGCTGGATTAGACAACTTCCGGATTTGACAACATTTTAACAATTGAGTTTACTGAGACCAAATACAATTTCTTTGTAATAAACAAAATTTTTGAATAAACTAACATCCAGATAAGACAAGTTAATTAACAGTTATTTCAAGAGATGACAAAAACAACACCATATCAAAAAGTATCAAGTTTGGTGCGAAGTCGAAACTTTGGTACCTAGCATCAAATGTTTATGCTGGATTTCCCTATGTGGGGATTAGGCTAGCGTATGTGGGGATTAGGCTAGCGTATGGTTCATGTATGAACTACTATTGCGCCCTCTGTGAGTGCAACTAAATAACTTTGCATTTTCTTTTGAAAACATAAATAAATACGATTGTTTTTCAAAGGAAACAAATGAAGTAAGTAGATATTTTCTGAAGTAATATGTTTCAATAACAAGACCTACATTAATTAAATTATTCTCCAATTATGATCATAATACATATTTAATCCATTGCAAAAATTATTACTAATGATGATGTCATTCGAGTAGGGAGCTACCTTAATCGTTATGCTATAATTTTTTTTAGCAATATTGAAGGCGGAATTTATTCGGTAAATTTAGTACATTTCAGTAAAAATTAGTATGGCAGGTATGTCTTAATAAAATCTTAAATCTTAAAGCTGCCTTTTTCTTGTATAATCTATTTGTTCTTTGCACACCTAATGACAGCATATTATGCCATATTTTAAGGACATATGGATAAATGACAAATCTCTATTAAGGACAAGAAATTCTCTCGACTTAGCGATCCTAAGAAGGAATTTAAGAAACCCAAGCAGAGGTTTCCAATGAGGCCATGATTTTACTTCCCAACATTTTCAATTTTGAATTCTGACTTCTGTATTTCAAACTCAGATAAGAGGTTGTCCTTAAAGTGGCATTCTCCTCTACAAAGGAGGAATAACTCTATATAAGAGAGATAACTCTACATAGGAGAGATAAGGTCATCTTTAAAAAATGTTTGTTTGGCTAAAAATGGCCCGACTCAAAACTTTTTAACCTCCAGGAAACAATTATTCTTTTTTATTCATTCACTTGTTCATCCCAACAACAACTATTTTTAAGTTTATAAATACCTTCAATTTTAATAGATTTTGAAAATTCTCTGGGAAAAAATTCCCATCTACCTAAAAGCCCCTTTTTTTTTATCCTGAGTCAGGAGAGGGCAATCAAACATTATTTTAAAGATGGCCCAACTCTACAGAAGAGAGATATCTTGACATAAGAGAGAAAATTCTACATAAGAGAGATAACTCTACACAAGAAAGATAACTCTACATAAGGGAGATGACTCTACACAAATGAGATAACTCTACATAAGGGAGTGGTTAGATATAAAAGAGATAACTCTGCACAAGAGAAATAATTATACGTAAGAGAAATAACTGTACATCAGAGAGATAACTCTACATAAGGGATAACTCTAGAAAGAGAGAGATAACTCTACAAAAGACAGATAACTCTACACAAGAGGTAACAATACATAAGAGAGATAACTCTGTATGAGAGAGATAACTCTACATAAGAGAAATAGTTATATATAATAGAGATATCTCTACACAAGAGAGATAACTCTACATAAGAGAGATAACTCTACACAAGAGAGATAGCTCTATATGAGATAGATAACTCTATATAAGAAAGATTATTAACTGTACATAAGAGAGATAACTCTTATAAGGCACACTACTACAAAAGAACCTTTATAAATATGGGCATAGAGTAACCTTTACTTTAAAGGTAATTCTTCATAAGAGACCTATCTCTTTATAAGGCGATTAAACTCTACCTTATAGAGATCACTCTACAAAGAAAGATAACTCTGCATAAGACAGAAAACTCTCATATAAGAGACACGCCTCAACAGATGAGATACAGTATAGGTAACTTCACTTTAAAAATGAGAGATAACTCTGTATAAGAAAGATAACGTTACCGTAGAAAGATAACTACATTTTTATAAACTTTTCTGTGTCCTGCATTCTCAAATTTTGGCTTACGTTGTACAATAAAACTTATTTGAATTAAGTTTCTATGAATAACTATTTCTGTAAGAAAAAAAATCATATTTAAAGAAAAAAAAACCGAAATTAGTTCTCTCTTAAAGTTTCTCAGAGTTTTTTGTTTGATTGTTTGTTGATTTTTGGTTTGTTTTTGTTTGTTTGTTTTTTTTTTTTTTTTTTTGCTTATTATTATGCCACAAAATAAATAAATAAATATATAAATAAATAAATAAATGAATAAAAATAGAGGTCGAACAGTACATTAGCAATATCGACAAGGATTTGATTCATGTTATTTACCTGTAATTCGAAACTCGCCTTTGTATGATGTCATATATAGCTTTAATCAATATAACTTGCCGAGCAAATTTGCGTCTGAATAAGGAAATAACGGAAATTGTTGTCTAATGTAAGCGGTTGTGATATTCAGGGTTCATTTAGATATATTCACAGTGGAGTGTGTTTCGTTTTGTCGTATTTCGGCTGACGTGCATTGTTAGGCTTTTGTTTTTATACTGAATTTGACTACGGAATTTGCTGTCTACCTGATCAATACATAGGGCTCACGGTGGGCGTGACCGGTCGACATGGGATGCTTACTCCTCCTAGGCACCTGATCCCACCTCTGGAATCTCAAGGGGTCTGTGTTTTATGCTCTCTTTACAGAATTATATTGTTAACAGATTTTTTTTAGATCGATCACTGTTCGTTTTCTTCACCTTTTATTCATTTTATTAATACAATGTAATTGTAATGATAAAATTGTTATATATATATGTAGCGGATAGGTATATATAGAATTAGATATTAATAGAAAGTAGGGGAAATAACCCTGAAAATATGATAAAACCATAAATCATACTGACATGTCGCATGTGAATAATACCTAATAGTTTGAATATCACCAAAGAGAGGTAACTCTGGAATGCTTTACTCCCATACGTGAAGTTATATAAACATGATAAAATATAAATAATTATAAGAACAAATTACTTCTTCAAATTTTTATGAGAATGAAATGTCTCGGAAATGTATCAGAGAAAATATATTATTTGATGTTTGGCGTTTGAAAACCAAGAAATGACGAGAGAAAAGAACAGTTGATTTAAAATTTAAATTAAGGAAAAATAATAAAAGGGAAGAAAAAAAATTCTAATATAGAAAATCCAGAATAATATATTTAAATTTCCGGACGTCCGTGCGATCATGGAAGAAAATGAAGGCATGCAGAGAAAGGGAAAATTTAGAAGAAAAAAAAATGATGACGGTCGCAAAAAATTCATAATAAAAAAATTGTATATAAAAAGTAAACAAAAAAGATGAAGAACCGCGATCTTTAAGCGAAGAGATACAATGCAAAAAATAAATTTAAAAAAAAATCTCGAAAATATATATTCATATATAAGGTACATTATTCCCAATTTTTCAGTGTTTCCTTTTCCTTGTTAACAAAATAAATCAATATATTTTCATCTAATTTGCGGAAAAATTGTGCGTGAAGGAAATAAAAATAGACTATTTCTAGGAAAAGAAACATAAATTAATCTAAACTACTCCCATTGTCAAGTTTTAGTTTGAATCGTTCCTTTATGAAAATACCGTTGCTCACTTGTACAAATCATCCAAAATTCGGACATACAAGTAAATATTTAAAGATATTTTTAGCAACCTTTCTTCCAAGGCAAGTCCTACATCTCACCTACATGTATATAGTCACTTATAATTACGCGCATATGCCTTTGCTGAGCAGATCGATCTTCAGTGAGACCCCCCCCCCCCCCCCCCGCCATGAAATCTAATGATCTTTTAATGCTGCAAATGCACACTATTGAATTAGATGGTATAATGAAAGTATATATTTTATGGATATGTATAAAAGGACTTTGATAAAAAAAAATTCTGAAGACCTAGTTTAGATTCCTGGTCATTCGTTACACAGATTACATTATTGAATAAATATATAAACTAAGAATATTTATGTAGGAAAGAAAGAAGTGAAATAAATAAATAAATAAAAATTAAATCATTCTAAACATGCAAGTATAAAGAGATAATTTAAAAAATCATCTTCGTATCTAGATATATAATACACTCTCAGACAGCTAGCAGGCCTATCACCGGGTTTAGTGTGGGAGGAGTACCCGCGGGCCCTCGTTTTAAAATAAATTATATGATGATGATATTGGTGGGACATGGTCATTTAATTTATTTTAAATAAACATTTTTAAGGGGTGTCGATCGCCCTTGGGATAAGCGATTAAAAAAAAAAAAAAAAAAAAAAATAAAATAAAATAAATAAGAAAAAAAAACCCAAAAAACTTTGAATCACGTATCAGTAAAGTTACGTGTATAGACCTGAGTTATTGTGAGAAATACCTGAGTAACCCTGATCTTGCCATTGCTTCCGTGTTCAATGATAAATGACACCCCTCATTTTATAATGGAACAGTCCAACCATTGAATTTTTTTCCCGCACTCTTCAATTTTATCCGTGAATGCATTTCGCAATAAGGTACGCCGACTTGGCGTTATTCAGTAAAAACTGAGAAGAATTGGGCTCTTGGCACCGGGCAGACTTTTGAGGTAATAGTTTGTTTAATTTGAATTGTGGAAAATTAGTGTTGTGTACAGTATTAAAAAGGGAGTGTTTTTGTTTCGAATTTCCTCTGTTAGATGGAATGCGAAGTATTACACTGAGGTATTTACGAGTTTTACATTTGTGAACGGTGATCAGCCTAATAAATATATTAAACAAAACGAATCGTGAACTGGGCAAATACTATGATGGACCCCTGGAAACACCAGAGGTGGGATCTGGTGCCTAGGACTAGGAGGAGTAAGCATCCCCTGTTGACAGGTCACACCTGCCATGGTCCCTATGAATTTATTGATCAAGTAGCTCTGTGGTGTTTGGTCAATTTAGTATACAAGTAATGAACTGACAAATGATATGAAACTTGTTAGACAAAATGTGATCAAATGATAGATTATATCATTACGAGCAATTAGGATCATTGCATGGCCGTAGGAACCGGGGGGGGGGGGGGAGGGGGAGGGCGTGCCCCCCCCAATAATTTTTGCCGATATATAGATTACTATATGCTTGTGCCCCCTCAATAAAAACGTCTGATGACTTTTTTTTCTGCTTGTCAAGAAATTTTTGGTAGTTGATAGTGCCCCCTCAACTGAAAATGTGTGGCTGTGCCCCCCCCCCCCCCAAACTGAAATTGCTTCCTACGGGCCTGCATTGTAATTACTGTAGAATTTGTAAGAAGCTGACTTTTAAAGGAGATGTTGAAATCCTTGTCAGAGTAATAACCATTTTCCTCTCTATATCCTTTTTTAAAATACTGAATTTGTAATAAAGTGGATAGATTTTGAGGCTTTGTAACAGACTAACAGATGCATCACATTAAGCCAGATAAAAATGTTTTG